TTGCTACCTGCACTAGTCCTCCCCCGTAATTTCCAAGGCTGTATCTCCCAGGGGAAAGAGGAGGGAGGGGAAAGGAAGGAGTAGTGGCAGGAAGGGACAGGGTTTGGGCCACCATTAAGGGTAAGGATGTTAAACTGCAGTTAATTGACTAGTCAAGTAGTCGATAGAACTTCTATTGATTACTTGACTAGTCAATAGGCACTTCTGCGTTCCTCCTTTGAAATGTACAAGAGCCCCATTTCAAAGGAGGAATGCAGAACTCCTAGTACAGACTGGAGCCAGTGGAAAGTCCTGCTCACTCCAGGCTGCATGTGGGCGTGCCTGCTTTGCAATGTACAAGAGACCCCAGCGGGAGCTCTTATGCATTTCAAAGCCACAGCACCCTCATGGAGCCCTTGGGTTCTGCACAGCATTTCCCCAGAACCCAGGGTCAGCTGGGGATTCCCCAGCTGATCCTGGGTTCCACTGAAATGCCGCACAGAGCCCCGGATCAGCTGGGGAGTCCCCAGCTGACTCTGGGCTCCACGGCACTGTCCCTTTGAAATGCCAAGGGGGAGTTTAAAGGGTCAGCTGCACAGCTGAGCCTGGGATCAGCTGTGAGGCGCTGCCCTTTTGTAATGCCGAGGCAGCATTTTAAAGGGGCAGCACCGCACAGTTGAGCTGGGGATTCTATTAAAAGTCAAAATCATGACTTGTTTAGTAAAGGTCTCCTTTGTTTGATAGAAGTTTTAATTAAAAATAAATATGCCTATATTCAGATAGCCAAAGAACAACTATAATGGGTGTGATGCTATTTGTGCGAAAAATTACTTAAACAGAAAAGGCTTCATGTGGAACTAATAATGTGCACAAACTTCCATGCAAAGAGCTCACAGCATTTCACAAACATTAATACAGCTTCACAACACCAATGTAAAGGAGGAATGACAATTATGACAAGGATTACCATTTTACAGAGGAAAAAATACACCCCAGGTTGCTCTAACCACTAAACAATGCTAGTCATGTCCAATGACAAGATATAAAAAACAGATGATAAATTAAGCAACCACTAAAGAAACTGAAGCCAATGTGTTTAACTAGTTAATAATCTAAAATGTTCTTAGGGCTAAATGTGAAAACTCCATGCTGCAAACTTCAAACACCTCTGCAAAGGCACAAGGGCATTTATAACAGAAGTTGCCACTTCATTATTGAGTAATTAACAAACCTTCTTCTCTACAGCTTTCTAGACAGAGGCTATCCAATTTATGGGTTGATGATCACATTATGCAAATATAATACAACAATGACAGAATATATAGAATTAGTGATACATGCATTTAGCATTGAGAGACTAATTTAAAGCACCAGTGCATTGCTTTTTAATTCCAAAGCAAAAGGTACACACAACTCAGATTTAATCATATGGAAATAATTCTTTAAGATGTATACTCCAAGTTGCAAAGCTTTAACTAACAAAATCTATAGACATTCTAGATTCTACTAGAATAAACTGGCTATCCATTTTAGCAAAAGAGAGCAAATATTCTGGTTGGTTATGCAGAAGTACAGGATAATTAGAATGAAAAACTAGAAAATTACTTTCAAAGGACATATAAAGGGATTTTCTAACAAAATGGATCCTGCTTACCCCGTCTATGAAAAGTAAATAGACTTTCAATTAACTTCAATATTAAATTATAGTAAAAGAACTTGCCGAAGAAAATAGAACAAATTTCTATCAAATAGATAGTATGACAAAGGCAGACCTAGTGAACACATGGTCAGGTGAGATTTTAGGGGTTTAGATTGGAAAAAAAAAGAGCACAGAATCAGAGCAAAGACCATACATGGGATGAGCACAGAAATGACTGAAAAAAGTTACGCTACCAAGATGGGTTGCAAACAATTTTAGATGTCTTGTAGTTCTTCAAAACTATTTTGTCTATCAGAACATTAAAACAGTAACAACTTTTCTCCATTCAATTCCTCCTACCTTTTTCTTTTAAACCAAAATTTGTTTTCAAAGATTTTACAACAATACACAGGTAGATAATAAACTAAGAGAAGTCCTGTGAAGTTAGTGTATCACATTTACAGAAAAAGACGTTGAATGAAACAAATTCATGTATATATCTGTGACAGAAATGTAGTCGTGTTAGTCTGGTGTAGCTGAAACAAAATACAGGACTATGTAGCACTTTAAAGACTAACAAAATGGTTTATTAGATGATGAGCTTTCGTGTGCCAGACCCACTTCCTCAGATCAAATAGTCCACGAAAGTTCATCATCTAATAAACCATCTTGTTAGTCTTTAAAGTGCTACATAGTCCTGTATGTATTTATCTGGCATTGTTCAGATCCTCAACTCCATTTTTTTTTCATTTTAATCATTGCTCTGGGATGGGGCTGAGGGTGAGCATTCAGTACGCAGGGTGCCCCAGGGAGAGAGGACTACCTCAGTCCTCTCTCACTGCAACATCTTGGGGCCAGGTGAGAAGCACCTTGCTATACTCACTGGAGCTGCAGCAGTCATAACTGAAGGAGAGGTGCATATCTTCTAGCTGGGGCAGCTCCAGGTTTGTCTGCTCCCTGCGCTCCCCAGCCAGAATGAGGAATGGAGCATATTGTGCACTTTCCCCTTGCTCCCTGACAAAGAAGGACAGCCAGCAATGTTACCATATGAATTGGAGGATAGTGGGAGGGTTTCAATCCGCACCACCCTCCCTAAAGGGCGCATGGGGGGTTGGAGGGTTGGGGCAGTCCTAGATGGGGGTGAGGATGGAATAGTCCTGTTACTTTACATTCACGTCAGCTTGCATTAATAAGATGCATTCAGCATGAATCTAGCACTCAGAAAAGGCCTCAAAATGCAAACTAACTTGGTTTCTAACCTCAATCAGCATGGAAGTGCTCCCCACTAACATACAAGATTGACCCAACCTACTTAAAAGGAAACAAATCTGATAATGAAGGGGTTAAGATGCTAGTCTGGCAGCTTTTTACATTGCCATATGGCAGAGACAGGTTTCCAAGCAGTCTCAGATTTTTGTTTCCCCAGTCATTGGAGTTTGGCCATGATGTAAACAAAAGGCCTGATGCTAAGCTTCAGATTACCTCCATTTATTAATTTGTGCATAGAAAAGAATAATTTAAGGGTTATAAACTGTAGAAACATAGCAGCATGGATTACAACAAGAAATGACCTCATTTTAGTCTTTCGTATTCAGGGCTGGCCCATAACATTTGGCACCTGAGGCGGGGAGCTCAAATGATGCCCCCATACTCCCTCATTGGGGCCAAAACTTTGAAAGGTCTCAATTCTGCCTTCCTCCTGTTCTACTCTAGAGCAGAGAGAATACATATGCACCAGCAGCAGACACAATTTTCTACACTCTGGGTCCTAGTGGTGCCCCTCCCCACAGAGTCTGGCACCTGAGGCGGCTGCCTCAGTTCACCTCATGGTAAGGCCAGCCCTGTTCATATTGCAAACAGATGCCATACAAACAGTAGATTTCACACCTATTTGTGGGTCCCAAATTATGTATAGAAGGCAGTTTGAAATATGTGTGTAAAAACTGGTGTCTGATCATTTGTTTTTGGAATGTTACAAATATTTCTGGTGACTTCTCCTAAATTTTGTTTAAATGTTCCCAGATCCAAGGGTTGATAAATACTGGAATAAATTGCCTGGGAGGTTGTGGCATCTCCATCACTGGAGATATTTAAGAGCAGGTCAGATAGAACATAACAGCAGCCATACTGAGTCAGACCAAAGGTCTGTCTAGCCCACTATCCTGTCTGCCAACAGTGGCCAATACCAGATGCCCCAGAGGGAGGGATCACAACAGGTAATCATCATGTGATCCCTCTCCTGTCACCCATTTCCAGACAAACAGAGGCTAGGGACACCATTCCTACCCATCTTGGCTGATAGCCATTGATGATCTTATCCTCCATGAACTTATCTAGTTCTTTTTTGAACCCTGTTAAAGTCCTGGCCTTCACAACATCTTCTGGTAAGGAGTTCCACAGGCTGACTGCGCATTGTGTGAAGAAATACTTCCTTTGTCTGTTTTAAATCTGCTATCTATTAATTTAATTTGGTGATCCCTTGCTCTTATATTGTGGGAATAGGTAAATAACTTTTCCTTATTCACTTTTTTCCATACCTGTCATGAGTTTATAGACCTCTATCATATCCCCCCTTTGTCTCCTCTTTTCTAAGAGGACAACTATCAGGGATGATCTAGATCAGGGTTTCCCAACCTATGGGTCACCCTTACATTTCAAAAGGGTCGCCAAGTGTCTCCTCAGGTGGCTTTGCCCCCCCCTCATTTCAAAAGGGTCGCCAAGTGTCTCCTCGGGTGGCTTTGCCCCCCCCTCCTGTTCTTGAATTGCCTTGGGTCACCAAATCTTCCTGAATTGTCAAAATGGGTCCCCATCTGGAAAAGGTTGGCAACCACTGATCTAGATGATGCTATGTCCTGCTGTGAGGGCAGGGGACTGGACTTGATGACCTCTCGAGATCCCTTCCAGTTGTAGTATTCTAAAGTCACACATGAAACAGGCAAATACCTGCGGAACAACATTTTTTCCATTTCTTTATGGAGTACCTACCAATGTTTATGGCAACACTTGCAAGTGACATTCTGCTTCTTTGTTGATTTAATAACCTGAGAAAGTATTGACCAGATTCTAATCTATGTTTGAATCAAGAAAAATAAATCAAATAGTTAATCTTGCCACCCAAATGTTTTTAATCCTCAGTCATGAAAGGAAACCAAAAATTTCAGGGTGCCCAACAAGAATCACCTTTGCCGATTATATTAGGCTGCTTAGTTTGTTAAAACAATACACTAGCTACCATTATACAGACATATTTTACTCTTTATTGAGTGAAGGCGTAAGATTTCATAAATTAGAAAGTGTTTAACATTACTGTGATTGTATGATAATTTTCTACACTATACATCTTTTTTAGTCATTTTCTAAATCAGAAAATTATAGCACTTACCATTTTCCTAAAACGACAATAGTTTCAGAGAGATACTTTAAGGACAGCTAGATGCATTTCTTGAGCCCTAAGAGACTCAATATGTAGTTATCTGGCAGGCTTTCATTCTGCAACAAAAATAAGTATTTAAAACAAGATACATTTGTGTACCTAATGCCAATACGTTCTAATCAATGCTTTTCTATTTAATGCAGAAGTGATTATGTTCCTAATAGCATAGGTTAATATATGAAAAATCTCTTTTGGCCCTCTATCTGTGGTATCTAGAAGCCCCATGCCCAGTTCCCAAATACACAGAAGAATATAAAGATAGGAAGTATGAAACCATAAAACCAATGTTATTGTATCATAATGTCTGAACAGAAAAGTCTATAAAATTGATCTAAAATAATTTTTATTTCTACACCATAAAAAGAACAGAACATAAGAATTCCCCTTTAAAGGAAGCACAATTTACCCCAAAGCCAATCCAATCTTTAGTCAAGGAAAGGCTGTACTCAAATAAATCCTGATGTGAAGAAAACAGTAGTTTATTGACTATGAAGGACACAGAATAAGCTTGAATTTTAATCCATCCAATACTGCCTTGCATATTTCCCAACGAAGCTGAGTGACCCCACTGGTTTCAATGGGACTACTATTTCTGTATTTAGCAATATATCTAAGCAAGAAGTGTTTGCAGAACACCTCTGTATCATTTAAAAACAAAGGATACAAAATTGCACAACAATACTATATTTGGAGATCACAGTGAACACTTTCTCTAAGAAAACAAAACTCTTTATTATCAGTAAATTGTTGGGGGTCTCTCTTACTAATTAATTAATTAACATCATAAAAGCCTCTCATTCAAAAAGAGGTTCAAAATTAACATAGCACTCATTTTAAGAGATTATTTCCCCTAAGATTCAATGAAGATTAACATGGTACTCAAATGCACTTGCAGAATCAGGACCTAAATTAACTACTTGGTTGTCAATGCCAAAGGGTCAAAGAATTCTAAGAGTCAAAAGCATTAGCATAAATCCCCAAAATGTAGTATTTTATTTCTGGGACTTGGGAAATTTACTCACCAGTGACTAGTGAGATACTTCCCCTGGCAAGTCAGTGGTGGGGAAATAGTTTATGCCAGCACTTTCTCTAGAACATAAGCTCTCATTTGAAAAAATAAAGTTTTTAGGCCTTACAGTTGTGAAGTTATCATCCAATCATGAATGACTGGTAAAACAATTCAATCTTGAGAGTGCAGGCAGGTATCTCCTTTAGGGATGTGAATGGTTAACCAGGTAACTTGGGTGAGGGGAGGGGAGACCTGGAGCAGCTCTCTGCCTGCTGAGGGCAGGGGGCTATTCCAGTCCCATGGGGCCTGTTGTGGGCCAGGAGACACTGCAGCCCAGAAAGAGCAAGCCCTGTTGGCAGTAGGCCACCCCCCACCCCAAGTAAAAAGAGATTTTACATCCCTAATCTCCAGTGCTTCTATTGCTGCTCAGAGCTTTTCCATAGCCACAGCCCAGTGAAAATGACCATTATATTCAGTTTCACAACTGATAGTCAATACCTAGTGAACAGGGCAGCAGTGTAAGTGACAAGTATTATGTCACATTCACTCTACTAGGCACAGAAGCAAGCACTGGACCTATTAACAAGTACCAAAGGAAGGAACAGAGCAACAGAAGCCCATTCACCTAGAACGTGTGCAGCATTTCAAAAACCTGCTTAAATAAACCTTCCTATTTACTCTGCAGCGTCGTCCACTGACCTCCAGCAGAACCCCTACGTTATAAGGAACACAAATGCCTAATTAATACCCTACTGTTTCCGCAGGTGAGTAACCCCGCTGGTATTGTTTTTCGCATTACTCACATTCTGCTGCGGGAAGAGCGCACACAGTCCGCAGGACTGCATCGCTCCTCGCACCGTAAGAGCCGCGGCTTCATACCCATCCACGCACCCCCTAGCACAGGCAACGCGGGCACTAGAGGGATTTCTAGCCTCGATCGCGGACCAGCCTGGGGACTCCCGCCCGCGCCGGCCGGACGCTCCCGCCCGGAGCAGCGCAGCTACCTCGCCCCCATCTGTCAGTCCAACCACCCGCCCGCCCG